GGGCAACTTAGCAAGACCTCATCTCTACAATAAATCAAAAATTAGCTGGGTGTGGTAGCGCGTGCCTGTAGTTCCAGCTACTCGGAAGACTGAGTCGGAAGGATCGCCGGAGCCCAGCAGGTCGAGGCTATGGTGACCAGGAGCGACCACTGCACTCCAGTCTGGGTGACAGAGTGAGACTCTAACTCAAAAATAAAAATAAAAATAAATTTAAAAATATTAAATTAGGTACCAACTATATTGGCCAACCATAAAAGAAAACATACCTTGAAATTTTACTTTAACATACTTTAAGAGACATCTAAAGAGGTAATAAAATTTTTCATTCAGATAAATACTTATTGGATAACTTCTCTGTGTTGAGCACTATGCTGGTGGGGATACAGTAATGAGCAAGCTGGTGGGGATACAGTAATGAGCAAGTTGGTTTTGCAGAGTCTTCAGTCAACTGACTAATAGAGAAACTTGTAACAGTTTGTGAATGAGTTTACTAATGTGCATGAAGTAGAACATTAGTGGATTTTTGGCAGCTTGTTCAGAGGCACATAAGGGAAGGTAGTGGTATCAGGTCATGTAAACAGGTTGAAAGAAGAACTGGAAATAGAACTGGAGACATCTAAGTTCCATTCCTTTACCTCAGAAATTGTTCTACGTAAGGCAAAATGAGAGAATAACAATTATTTACTATCTTACCAAACTTTTTTAAACTTTAAAACTGTTAATTTTAAAGATATGGGGTACAAGTCAGGGTTAGGTATACAAATGTTCATTATGCAGGTACTCTTGTTGATGAGGTGTGCCCCTCCCTCCCCTGGCAGTTTCCCTCAACTGCCAATCCTACCCCCCTTCCCCTGGCAGTTTCCCACTACTGCCAGTCCCTTTCTTATAATATTACGATAAGTGTTCCAAGGTCCACTTATGAGTGAGAACATGTGGTACTCTGTCCTTTGTTTCTGTGATAGATCACTGAGTATAATAGTTTTTTTTTTTTTTAAGAAGTTTCACTCGCTGTATTTCTCAGGCTGGTCTCGAACGAACGAATTCCTGGGCTCAAGCAGTCCCCTCGCTTGGCCGCCCAAAGTGAGATTATAGGCGTGAGTCACCATCCCCAATCTCTCCAAACTTTTAAATAATGGACTATTGATCATTCAAAAGACATATTTCTTGGGATTATATATTGTTCTTATAAGCATTGGATGCTGTTTCTAATCATGTCTTGTTTAGGTTAATAGTTAAATTTGGTTTTAAGCTCCTAAGATACACACTGAATTAGAAGAAAGGTGTCTCAATGTTGACTTTTATTGTTGATTAAAGTATATTAAATTGCTAGCATGCTATGGAGATTGGGATTAAAGAGGACTTATACTTTCAATGTTGGAACTTGGTAGCATTAGCATTTTCATAATTGAAAGACTTTTAATACTTTATTTTGTTAGCAGACTTACAAATTACAATTCTCTTTGTTACTAAAATGTAAAGTAGATATGCACAAGTTAATTTGTAGTCCTTTTTATTTAATGGGCATGATATTGATTTTCAACTTTCCCCTCTTATTTCAGGTTTTTTTATTCACTATTCTTCCCTGGGCTAATTGTATGTGGAACTTTATGTGCATGTTTGGTCATTGTCCTTTGGGGAATCAGAATGCTCCTACAGAGGAAGAAAAAGTCCATGTCACCTAGCAAAAATGGGAAAACTCAAATGGTGATTGCAGTTTTTCATCCATACTGCAATGCTGGTGGAGGAGGAGAGACAGTTTTATGGTGTGCCCTAAAAGCCCTGCAAAAAAAGTAGGTATGCATCTTTCTTAACTAATTTACTATATTGTTACCATGTTTTAAAAATAATTATCCAAAAATTCATCTTTCTCTGGTACCTTATTGATAAGCAGGAATTTCTTTTTTCCACTCTTCTTCAATAAGAAAATATTTATCTCATATGCCCACCTGCCTTATATGACCCTGTTGAGTTTTAGTTGCTATGATATGGAAATAGATGGAGAAAGTATCTGCCCTTTTATGGCATAATTGAATGGTTACAACTAGTCCCCTTGGGATGCAGAAGAGATTAAGTAATAAACATAAGTATACCAAGTATTGCAGAGCACTTTAGTCAGTGGCGTCCCAAAGGAATAATCTCTATGAAAGTATCTATTTGACTCTTGATATCATTACCAATTGGATACTCTTAGGTTAACTATGTTAGAAAGAACATGGTATTATACATTCTTTTATGTTTTAGGCTTCCTAATCCCCACCACTTTGCGCCCCTCCCGAATATTTATGAGTGCCTTCTAGAAAGGAAAAAGTGTAAAGTATGAATTCCATTCCTATTTTATTATATGAGGAAAACTATCATCAGGCACTGCTCTAGGAGTTGAGGTTAAGTGGTGAACAAGATCAAGTCCTTCTCTCCTGGACCTTAGATTTTCATTGAAAGAGACAAGATACTAAGCAAAGAAGAAAATTATCAAACAGACATGCTATATAAAAAGTTAAGGTAGGATAATATGAGTGTCTTGGGCAGGGCCCAGTGACTCACACCCAGCATTTGGGGAAGCCAAGAAGGGAGAATCCCTTGAGACCAGGAGTTCGAGACCAGCCTGGGCAACATAATGAGACCCCCCAACTCTCCAAAAAAAACTTTTTTTTTTTTTTTTAGTTTAAGTCTCACTCTGTCACCCAGACTGGAGTGCAGTGGCCACTCCCGACCACCGCAGCCTCGACCTGCTAGGCTCCAGCGATCTTTCTGCCTCAGCCTTCCAAGTAGTTGGAACTACAGGCATGCGCTACCATGCCCGGCTAATTTTTTATTTATTGTAGAGATGAGGTCTCGCCAAGTTGCCCAGGCAGGTCTCGAATTCATGGGCTCAGGCAATCCACTCACCTCGGCCTCCTAAAGCATGGGATTACAGGCTGAGCCACCGAGCATGGCCTTAAAGTACTTCTTAAAGGTACAGTATTTCCAGCCTAGGCAACATAGTCAGACTTTGTCTCTTGCTGGGGGCCAGCCCCTGCAGGATTTGAGGGTCCCTGGAAAGATGTGGCAGCGTCGGCAATTATTCTGGAGAAATAAAGAGAAAGAAAGAGGAGGGGGAGAAAGAAAGAGACTGGACTCTGTCTAAGTGACAGAAGACGTTTATTGAGAAATACAGAGGGTTTTTATCCCCTAATTTTGCACAGTCAGACTCACAGGCCTTCTATGTGAGCACAAAGCCAGGTGCATGGGGGCGACCCTACCCACCAGATGTTTCTTCAAGCATGAGGAAAAACAAACCCAAAATTGTCTTTCTTTTCCTTACGCTTGGCTAATGTCCCTCAGAAGTATTAATACAATTTCTAAAAATATTATACCGTTTTATCAATGATAATCTATATATTTATTTTATTCTACACACTTTACCTATGACTAACTTTCTTAATGATTACTAAAACCAGTTTTGCATAATGTGGCCCAGTCCAAAGGTCATGCTGGGCTCTCAGCACTAGGACTCTTTGATGTGGTCCCGGCTTGAACCAGGACCTCTCTGGAAGTCTAAACAGCAGTCAAAGGGAAATGGGAACAATGAGTTTCTAATGTTAACCTGTGTTCGTCCCAGTCTCGGAGTTTTCATGCTTGAGCTAACATGAGGCTTTATTGCCAAGAAAAGGGAGAGGCAATGGGGTCAACAGCTCCTGAACACACCCTAGTGTGATCTTACCCCAAGCAACATCTTCACCCTAGTTCTTTCAGGCTTTCACTGCATCAACGGCCCTCCCTGATCCCTAACGCTCAGTGGGCCTCCGAGGCCGGCTCCCAGCAGTCTCTACAAAAAAATAAAAAATTAAACTGAACATGGTGGCACATGCTTGTAGTCTCCACTATTCAGGAGGCTGAGGCAGAAGGATCACCTAAACCCAGGAGGTCAAGGATGTGATGAGCTGTGATCCTACCACTGGACTCTAGCCTGAGCAATTGAGTGAAACCCTGAGGAGATAACACTTAACAGAAATCTGAATGACAAAAAAAGCTGCATTACTGAGTGTCTGTTATATGTCAGGCATTGTGTGGAGTGCTTTACATCACTCAATTCTCAAAACAACCTTAATGTGGTTATTACTATTAGATTATCCCCATTTGACATAGTGGGAAACTGGTGCACTAGAGCCCATGTTTTGGGTGTGTATGTTTCTGTTTTTTTGTTTTTTCTTTAATAGAGACTGGTCTTGGTATGTTGCTCAGGTTGATATTGTACTGGTTGGTGTTGTACTCCTGTCCTCAAGCAGTCCTCCGGCCTTGGCCTCTCAAAGTGCTGGGAATGTAGGCATGAGCAAT